CGTTATTGAGAGACAGAGACAGAGTGTGAGTGGGGGAGGGGTAGAGAGAAGAAGGAGACACAGAATCCCAAGCAGGCTCCAGGCTCTGAGCTCTCAGCACAGAGCCCAATGCGGGGGTTGAATTCACGGACCATGAGATCATGACCTGCGCTGAAGTCAGAGGTTTCATCAACTGAGCCACCCAGGCTCCCCAATACAAAGTTCCTAATAGCAAAGAATAATGAAAGGTATGAATATCAAGTGAGACAAAAGATATCAGTTAGAGAGAGGCCCTTCTTCCTGGCCCCCCAAAAGTGCCCAGTGGAAATTACTGCCTGGATAATAGCGTCGTGGAGTGAGGATTCTACCGGGGGAAACGTTCCCTTTACTACTCTCGAGTTTTGTTTTCCTTTTGATCTTTCTGTTCTCACTATTTTAGATACTTACTGCACACTTGGTGAGAATAACTGATTGAAAACAAGTCAGGCACTTTCCTGAGTGATTACTCTTTTTTTTTAAGAAAAAGAGCACACACAAGCAGAGGAATGGCAGAGAGAGAGGGAGAGGCAGAGGTGGGGAAAGAGAGAAGAATCCCATGCAGGCTCCATACTGCCATTGCAGGGCCCAGCGTGGGGCTTCAAACCCACAAACCGTGAGACCATGACCTGAGCTGAAACCAAGAGTCAGATGCTCAACTGACCGGGTCACCCAGGCACCCCTGAGTGATTGCTTTTATATTGAGTGAGGAAACAAAGTTTCCCAGAATTGCCCTCAGTAGACCTAGGTTTTAAGCGTAGGTGATGTTTACTCCTGCAATAATTGTGATATTAAGTCACATGTGATAAGTGTCCAAAGTGTATAGCATTGGAGTGAAAAACTTCAGCTGAGAATTAGACCTGATTTTGAAGGCTGACTTTGCTACTTATTAATGACATAACCTTGGATAAATTATTAAACAACTCCAAGGCTCATCTCTAAAAGAAAGATCAGAATAATGCCAAGTGCTTAAGATTATTACGAGAATTGAGTATAATAATGCACGTAGTGTGTTTAGCACATGTTCTAATAACGTTTAAATATTATTGCTGTAAAATTGAAATCGTGTGGCAGGAGCCAAATCCTGAGGTGTGAGAGAGGAGTTTCTGACACAGTATCAGCTGCCTGTTGAAAGGAGAGCAAAGGTAATGATGTGTACTTTGAGTCCATAGAATGGTCAGGCGGCTCTCTTGACAGTCAACCTCTTGACCAGAGGGAAAGGAGAAAGGACCAGAGTTCTAGTTACTTTTAGAAGATGGATTGAAAGAGGAGGGCTTTAAAGCCCTGAGTGCTCATCACGTTGATGATTCCTTCGGATGCTGGTCAGAATCTATCAAGTGAGATTCCCCTGAATCATTTACTCTAGTAGTCATTTTATAGCATGTGCCAAGGTTTCTCATCCTCGGCACTGTTGACGTTTGCACCAGATAATTCTTTTTTGTGATGAAGGCTATCCTCTTGCACTATAGAATGTTACCAGCATTCTTGATCTTTGTCTGCTAGATACCAGTGGAATCCTCCATTAGAGACCAGTGTATCTGATAGCCAAAAAGGTGAAAACAACCCAAATGTCCATCAAATGATGAATACGTACACCAAGTGTATATCCATATAGTGGAATATTATTCAGCCGTAATAAGGAATGAAGTACTTACACGTTGTGTAACATGGTTGAACCGTGAAAACATCATGCTTCATCAAAGAAGCCAGACAGCAAAGGCCACATATTTTATGAATTCCACTTTCATGGAATTTTATGAGTTCCCTTATATGAAGTATCCAGGAGAGGCAAATCCACAGAGAGAGCAGATCAGTGGTTGCCAGGGGATTGGGGCAGAGGGGGAAGAGGAATTGGGAATGACTGCTTAATCACTGTAGGGTTTCCTTCTGGGAATATGATGAAAATCATAAATGATTTTTATTATGACAGTAAACGATAAAAATATTCTGTGACTGGGTAGAGGTGATGGTTGTACATTGTGAGTCCATTAAGTATACTGTCTTGTAGTTTCAAATGGCGAATTGTATGTTATGTGTGCTTTATCACAATAAAAACAAGGGAAAAATTCTAGTCATTGCCAAATGTCCCCTTGGGGGCAGAATCACCCCCAGTTGAGAACCAGTGGCCTATGGCAAGAAAGGAGGCTATGAGAAGGTGGCTTATATAGAAGGCTATAGAAGTTGTCTAAAATGTATCTGACACAAGGGATAAGTTTGCAGAAAGTAAGCACTTGAATTCTTAAACTGGCTTGAAGAATCCAAGGGAACCCATGCAAGAGGGCTTCAAGCGTGAAGTGGATAATCCCCCAGCACAGACAGGGTTTATAAAACCTGGGGGCTTGGCTGATAGAGAGGAAATTGATGAACCCTTTCAATATGCCTGATCGGTCCCAGTACTTAGGAAGCAGCTGTGGGACAGACCACTGCTTTGATGATTCTTCCTATAAGAAACTAATAAAGGAACCGAGCAATAAACTGATCTGGGTAGCAAACTGCAAAATACCCAAGCCAAGGCAGTCCTCTGTGTTCTTAGCATTGATCAGGCAGTGTGAGTGAGGAGGGAGGGGGCTTTGACACCAACAGCACCCCTCCTCAAAACGGGGTCCAAATGGGAGACAGCGAGAGGAGATCTTCCAGAGAACAAAAAGAAAGACGTATGAAGAAAAAGAGTTGGAAAATAAGAAGGCTTGATGCTGCCTTGAAGAGGCATAACCCCGTCACAGATATGGATTCCGTCAACATATCCTATCAGTCACAACAACATTCTTTGAAAAGATCAACTGTGGGGGCACCTGGTGGCTCAGTCGGTTAAGAATCTGACTTCAGCTCAGGTCATGATCTCGCGGTTTGTGAGTTGGAGCCCATCGGGCTCTGTGCTGTCAGCGCAAAGCCCACTTGGGATCCTGGGTCTCCCTCTGTCTCTGCCCCTCCCCTGTTTGCGCATGTGCATGCGTGTGCGCGCGCTCTCTCTCTCTCTCTCTCTCTCAAAAATAAACATTTTTTTTTAAAAAAAGAAAAGGTCAAATGTAATAATTGCCAAGAGCTTTGTGAGAAGGCCATTGAAGTAGAAAGAGAAAACAGATTGGACTAATGACAGGTAGTAAGAGTTTTTGCCTGAATTGGCAACTCCTACTTCCAGAAAGACAAGTAGAAGAATGCCATCCATTTTTGCAGTAAATCTTTGCAAAAGCACTAAACCCCAACATACCCAAGAAATGTCAAGAGTCAGAGAAGCCCTGTGAGGGGAAAATCAGTTGGCCTGTATAAACTCTGACCTGGTCTTAGAAAAGAAGAACGAAGACAATGAATGTTTTCAGAAAAGGAAGTACGTCCAAGGCATCATCGGATGGCATCCACAGGATGCCGCATTTGATGGCAGCCACATACAACGTGTACAGCTGGAGCTCAGGGACTAGGAAAGGCACATCCAGCCAGAACAAACCTCATCCAGGATTACACTTGGAAAGCATCCGCCCAAGAAGCTTTCATGAGGGTTAACACAAAAGCCCTGGGTCTGTTAAAATCGCAGGTGGCTGTCAGTGCTACATGATGGTCCAGTTCAACTGATAGGACAACCTTGAGGCTGGGAAGTGAAAGAACATAGTTGACCTGAAGTGTACTGAGTAACCCAGTCAAATGGCGCATCCTAAAACAAATGGAGAAGGACTCCTAGGCGCTCAGTGAATACTTAAAAGGGTCCTGTATTAGCTCGGAAGCTGTTGAATGTGGGACTGATCACCATTCAGTGACGGTTTGCTTAGCTTCCTTTTCTTTTCCCTCCTGTGGAAAGAGGCCTGGGTCTGAGCAGAATGGAGCAAAAGGGAGAGAAGAGGGAAAAAGTGAGAATCACCTAATTGTATATACGTATACATATTCATCCGTGGACAGTTCAGAGATGTGCACTCAGATCCTTTGTGTGGCCACTGTTCTTGGCCCTCTTAGCCCAGGCCTGAGCTGTTCACCGTGGACACATGTTCCATGTTCCCTCCCATGACCTTCAGTCGCCATCTCAGCTCTTCTCTCCAAACCTCGTTAGTTTACATTTTGCACAGTGAACATGTTTGGGAAGGAGGGATGTTCAGCCCATCTTACGAAGTATTTGCACCTCTTCCAGTAAAAATCCCATGACAATTCACAGATTCATGTCTCTGAGCTGTTATTTTAAAACAGAGATCAGTACAAGGGAAAATACTAAGGCCTCTGAGCAGGTTCTTAAAAGGGCAGTCAGCTTTAAATGGACTAAAAGAACCAGCAAACAAAGGCCTAGAGGACATTCATTTATTCATTTGTTCAGAATTTATAAACACATTAGGGGGGAATTTGAAGCCTTACTACCAGGCACAGAAGATCCTATGACCTAACCTCTCCAGGAAGTTACCTGAAGCTAGGAAACTACTTTTCAGCTCCAGGAGTGAATACAAGTTTTTAAATGGGTAATCCGTGCTGGTTGGTTCTGAATGAGGTTTAGGAGCCCTGAGTCGTCATCTAGATCTCAATAAAGCTGGGGGAAAAAACCCTAAGTTTTTAAAATAAAAGCCTTGGATTGAAGAAACAACCGCCATGACTGAACTAAATGTGGAAATTGTTCAAAGATCGTGTTCCTTATCACCTCAGGCAGTGTCTACGCGCTTTGGTTAAAGTTACAGCATACAATTTGGTCACATCCGAAGGCATAACAGATACATGCTTTTGTGAGAAGTTGCTTTTCTTCCCGATATGGCAGTAATATCAAGCTTAGGGTTCCTGTGAAGTTCTATTTAAATCAAATTTCAAATGGTGAAAATAACAGACTTAGGATCTTCTCGTTTCCAGGCTGTGTTGAAATTATAGACATAATGTTTGTCTTCTGTCGTTTCCTGTCCTGCTTAATCTTAGTTCTTACAGCACAGCAGCGGGAATGGTTCTGATTTAGTAGGAAATTCACCTTGATCACTGTAACCTGGAAGGGCTGTTCTCTAGGGAAGGCAGGTGCAACCGTGCCGTGGGCGGGAAGGCAGGTTTCAGTGGGATCCTCGCCAATCAACCCGGTACTGCTCTCTGTGAATGAAGTGTGCTTAGTGTACTTGGTTGTGGAGGTGTGTGTGGGAGGGAGATAGAGGTGTACCATGTGTGTATATGATATGTAGCTCTAAAGCAGTTCTCATTTTTCAGGGCCCCTGGGTGGCTCAGTTATTGAGGATCCGACTTCCACTCAGGTCATGATCTTGCTGTTCAGGAGTTCGAGCCCCCCTGTCAGGCTCTATGCTGACAGCTTGAAGCCTGCTTTGGATCCTCTGTCCCCCTCTCTCTCTCTGCTTCTCCCCCTGCTTGCGTTTCCTCTCTCTCTCTCTCTCTCTCTCTCTCTCTCTCTCTCTCTCTCTCCCTCTCTCTCCCTCTCTCTCTGTCAAAAATGAATAAACATCTTAAAAGTATATTTTAGGGGCGCCTGGGTGGCGCAGTCGGTTAAGCGTCCGACTTCAGCCAGGTCACGATCTCGCAGTCCGTGAGTTCGAGCCCCGCGTCGGGCTCTGGGCTGATGGCTCAGAGCCTGGAGCCTGTTTCAGATTCTGTGTCTCCCTCTCTCTCTGCCCCTCCCCCGTTCATGCTCTGTCTCTCTCTGTCCCAAAAATAAATAAACGTTGAAAAATATATATATATATTTTAAAAATAACATAATACTTATTTTTGGTTCAAATTTCTTATTTTTGGTTCAATTTTCTTCCAGTAGGCTCCACCCTGACCCCTTTTCTGTTGTTAGAAGTGTTTTTTTTTTCCTTTGTTTGAGTGGGTCGATGGTTCATAACAATAACCAGATCTAAACCATTCTCTGAAATTATACACTGCGTATTGTGGTTTTCAGTTTTGTTGGCATGAAATGAGGATTTATTCTCCATTGAAGGTGCTTGTAACCTGATTATCTACTCCCAAGATTTTTTTACAAGCATCACTAGATACTGATTTGTATTTTTTAAAATCTTAACTTTCAAGTCCATTGCTTCACATACCAATTGTCCTTTACAGTAAAGTTTACTTTTTTTTTTTTTTAAACCATGAAGTTGCCATAGCTGTTTCTAGTTAAAAAAAAAAAAAAAAAGATCCTAAACAAACAGGAAAGTTAGTGATTACCATTGTTCTATTGCTGTGTAATAAACCACCCTGACTTAAAACAAAACAAAAATTTCATTTTGCTCACAGGTTCTGTACGTTAAGAAGGTGCAGCAGGCATCGTGGGGAGAGCTTGTTTCTGTTTTACCATATCTGGGTCTAAGCGAGGAAGTCTCAAAGCTAGGGACGACTCCACAGCTGGAGTCTACAGCCCTCTGCCAGCTTACTCACACGTCTGTCCATACAGCCTGTTGTCTGGGACTCAGCCCAGCCAAGGTCACTGACTGGTGCACCTACCCACGGCCTCTCTGTGGGACTCCTGGACACCTTCACGTCATGGTGCCATGGTTCCAAACTTGAACAGCCTAGAGCAGAAAGTCAGAAGCCTTATTGTTTATGACCTAGTCTCAGAAGCCACATTGCATCATCTCTATAGCAGTCACCAGCCCACCCAATTTAAAGGAAGGGAACATAAATCCTACCCCTTAATGGAAAAGGTCAGTGATACATTTTGTCAGAAGAGTGTGTGGGGTGGGAGACTGTGGAGGTCTCTGGAATGCCGGAACCTTTAAGCTAGCGTTAGCTTTTCTTTCAGTCTAGTTTTTACATATCCAACCAAATCTGAATTTGTTTTAGCCCCAGAAGCCTGGAACATTTGTTTGTAACACAAGTACATCCCATTTCCTATAAAATACGTGCCTTTAAAAACTGTTGTAAAGTGTTCTTAATTAATGGAAGTGTATTATTTAAATTATAGTAAATGGACATATAATCTTACCAAGTAATGTGGATACTTAAATAGAAACCAGAAGTACCTTTTCATGAGGTGAATAAGCATTCCTAAGTTTATCCGCATGATAATAAGTAGGGTTGTTTTTTTTTTAACCTGTTTTCAGTACTCCTGTTTAGCAACAATTCTTGGTTCTGTGTTCTTTGTAAATTGTAAGTTTTGTGAATAGCCTTGGACTGAGGTTCTTTGGATGGTAAGTAGCTCTGCTAGGCTCCTGACAGTCTTTTCTGTTCCTTTCCCCGTCTTTGTGCCGAACTGAACAGATCCGTGCAGTTGGCAGGCTAAAAAGAGAGCGCTCCATGAGTGAGAATGCCGTTCGCCCAAACGGACAGCTGCTCAGAGCTGACTCAATGTGAGTACAACACGGGGAAACGTGTCTCCTGCATAAGTTTTCAACATCCAGTGTCCTGTCATTTTCTACATAAGTTACTTCTTTTTTTCTTAACTCTCAAATAGTTTTTTAAAGAGGAAGAAGTGTGCATTTTGTGCCTAAGAACCTGAGAGAAAAGTAAAGAATTTGCTTTTACGTGTTTGAAATCTGTTTGACATTTACATCAGTTTTCCATTTTTTGCAGTTATTTTTAGAGCCTTAAAATACGTCATGGGAGGGGCGCCTGGGTGGCGCAGTCAGTTAAGCGTCCGACTTCAGCCAGGTCACGATCTCGCAGTCCGTGAGTTCGAGCCCCGCGTCGGGCTCTGGGCTGATGGCTCAGAGCCTGGAGCCTGTTTCCGATTCTGTGTCTCCCTCTCTCTCTGCCCCTCCCCGTTCATGCTCTGTCTCTCTCTGTCCCAAAAATAAATAAACGTTGAAAAAAAAAAATTTAATAAAAAAAAAAAAAATACGTCATGGGAGTTTTCCAGTAACATTCCCCACTTCTACACATATGACAGAATTCTGAAAGTCTGATTTACTTATTTTGGGAATTGCCTATAAAGTATACTTAGGAAAAGTTGATAAATGTTAGCGCTCAGTTCTGTGCAGCCTTCGGGAATGTTTACCTAGGGTGTAGATCGGAGCAAAAAAAACAAAAGGAAACACTTGAAGCAAATGTCTTTGTTTTCAAGTTACTCAGTTGGTCATAAGATTGTGAACTAGCCCTTCCAGCTCAGCTACTGAAAAAAATTTTTTTAATGTTTGTTTATTTTTGAGAGAGAGACAGAGCATGAGTGGGGGAGGGGCAGGGAGAGAGGGAGACAGAATCAGAAGCAGGCTCCAGGCTCTGAGCTGTGAGCACAGAGCCTGACACGGGGCTCGAACTCACCAGCCGTGAGATCATGACCTGAGCCCAAGTCAGACACCCAACCGACTGAGCCCCCCAGGCGCCCCATTCTGCTTCTACTGAGCCGTGGTAACCAGTGTAAGCACAGGCAAGCGAATTGCTTTACTTCCCAGGATTATTGTTTAGCTCTCTGCCTACTGAGTCATCGAATTGTTAGATCCATTTCATTTTCCAAAAATACGAGTCTGTTCTTTCAAAGGACACATAAACTTGTCTTTCTCATTTGGTTATGTTACTGTCTTCTGATCAAAGCTACCCCACTATAAGATGTTTTAGATCAGGCACATGGTTTTTTGTTGTTGTTATTTCATTAAAATTAGTGGGTTTTTACACATACAATATCCCCTTAAAATCTGGTCAGAATTTTAAGTCTCACATCCATTGGTGATTGTGGCATTTTTAAATAGATGATTTAGGTTGCTTGTGTAAATTAAGGTATCTTCTTTACATTTTCAGTCAGTTTTCATGAACTCCTTGTTCACGAACCACATCTGATGCCAGGCATCATGTTAGCCTCCCCGGGAACTGCAACAGGATCAGGAGATGGGGCATCTCTCTCGGAGTTTGCCAATCTGGACAAAAGCAAAGCACTTAAACGTATATTTAAGAGCACTAGAGCTCAGTACCGTACTGGAGCACTCAATACTGTGAACTGGAGCACAGTACAATATCCATTGGTGTCAGACCACATCAAGTGCTAGTTTGGCGCTGACTGAAGAATACAGAGATGCTGAAGGGGCTTTGATAGGGTAGGAACTTTCTTCTTTAGTGTTAGGCGTGGAGGAGAACTAGACGTGCTTTCATTTCGTGGGGAATCTTGAAATGTGTCCTTAAGTAGCTATAGTTACTCTGGAGGAGTTTGTAAGTAGACAGTAGGTTAAAATGAATATATATCTCCCTCCGAAAATACTTACCTGACAAGTTCAACCATTAATATAAAAATTTTTATGGTAATTATATGTTTTCCTGGAGATGCCTGGCTGGCAGTGATGGCGGCCGGTCCGTGAAATCCATTTTCCTAGTACATCTCCCAGTATATTACCCAAATGGTAAAAAAGACGACATAGTTTATGGCTAAGATGGCTTCTTGAGATTTAGCACCTGTCAGAATGATCAAGGGCTTTTGTTATTTTCTACTTGTAATCTTTTTCAAGGCAGCAAAGTTTTCTCATCAACTTTTCCGTTCTTCATATAAGCCGCTTATCTTCATATAAGATGTGGCTGATTATTTAGGTCTTTTTTTTTTTAAGAATTTTTTTTTAATATTTATTTATTTTTGAGAAAGAGAGAGCACAAACGGGGGAGGGACAGAGAGAGAGACACACACATACAGAATCTGAAGCCGGCTCCAGGTTCTGAGCTGTCAGCACAGAGACTGACGCGGGGCTCGAACTCATGAACCGCAAGATCATGACCTGACCTGAAGTAGGACACTTAACCGACTGAGCCACCCAGGCTCTCAGGTCTTTAATTACTTTGAAATTTCATATTAGGTAAAAACAGGTCTATTTTAGTATAGCATTATTTTTTTCTTTTTTTCCACAAAATGTGTAATTATTGGTAGCTGAGTTTGGTTGAAGAGAAAGGAAACAGTTGTATTATGTATGAAAACCAGCCTAACGAGGCTACTATTAGAGTAGATAATTCGTTCATAGGAATTTTTGCAGTTACCTAAGTTCCTCATAACAGAGAAGATTAGCAGAGTCAACTAATCCTTGCTTTTGTATTTAAGTCGCCTTAATGGCGCTTTCTAGATGTTTAATAAAACAAAAAATATTTTAATGTTTGGTAGTAAAGATAGAATGAATATTTAACCCTGCATTTTCATAGTGAAATTCTTAGATTACATAACGATACTTTTTTGTATGGTAATTATGTATATTACCATATTATGGTAAGATACTTAAGCATTTCTCTTAAAGAGAATCTCTTTATTTTTTTTTTTTTTTAAATTTTTTTTTTTTTTCAACGTTTATTTATTTTTGGGATAGAGAGAGACAGAGCATGAACGGGGGAGGGGCAGAGAGAGAGGGAGACACAGAATCGGAAACAGGCTCCAGGCTCTGAGCCATCAGCCCAGAGCCTGACGCGGGGCTCAAACTCACGGACCGCGAGATCGTGACCTGGCTGAAGTCGGACGCTTAACCGACTGCGCCACCCAGGCGCCCCAAGAGAATCTTTTTAAAAAATATTTATTTATTTATTTTGAGAGAGAGAGAGAGAGAGAGAGAGAGAGAGAACCCCAAGCATGCTCCATGCTGTCAGCACAGAGCCCCATGCAAGGCTCGATCTCATGAACCATTAGATCATGACCTGAACTGCAGTCAGGAGTCAGATGCTTCACCAACTGAGTCACCCAGGCACCCCTACTTAAGCATCTTTTTGTTAATAATGTAACCTGGCTTTTTCTTCCCCTTCCATTATTAATTTCAAAAATTTGTAGTTGAATTCATCTTTAAGAATCTACATTTAATTAACATTGGGAATTTTATACAATGAGCACTATCATATATTTGGTGTTAGTGACGCAGTAAGGACGAAATTGTTAATTTATTATAAAACAGCAATATTTTACTTCCACTAAAGTAATTATTAAATTCTTGGTGTCTTCACCTATTTTGGTCTCTTCTTTGTAATGTACAATTAATTATGTGTCATGGTCCGTGAACCTTTGCCTGCCTCCACTTTAGTTTATTCCTTGGCTTTAAGAGTAAAAGTGCATTTAGACATGGGAGCAGAAACACTGGCCTTCGTTTTCTTAATCGCTTTCCAGAGACAGTAGAATCGATTATTGTCAGCTATTGACACAAAAGTGAATTCTGACCAGTAGACTTGTATCTCACTTTTTCTTTGTGGTATGAAAGCCGAATATGTAAAAGAAGCATAATTATTATTTAAGGTGGCACAGATCATATTCTGCCCCAAGAAATAAAATGTCAAGGTTCCAGGCACCGATTTCTGCACCGGAGTACACGTAAGAATTTCTCTGCTCTGCTTTTCACAGCTAGGAGTTGTTTTAATTTTGCAGGCTTATGTTGTACTAATATTTCGCCAGGTAATTATCATATAATACCCTAATGCTCGTACTGTTTGGGCTTCTCAGTTCCTTGGTGTTGGGATTTCTCAAATTGTCCTTACACATTTTAAGGAAAAAAAAAAAAAAAACTAGACCAATTAAGGAAGTTAGGTATGATTTGGAGCGTAATAGTGAAAATAAAATGGAATAATTTGCACATAAGGACCAAGCATCATTTTTTATTTTATTTACCTTGCTTTTTGGTGGGCATACTAGTTCTGTACAGAGTCAACTTAACCAGCTTCAGTGATCCCAACCTTTTTTCAGTTTTAGCACCCATCTTTTCTTGCTTTCTTATTTTGATCCAGAAGGAGGAGTCTAAGAGTGGTTTGTCATTTAGGGGTTTTTTTTGTTTTTGTTTTTCTTAATCCCATAGATTAAAATTATGCTTGGAAGAATGTTTTGAGATCATTTAAACCTACTCTTTCTGCCAAAAGAAGGTGCAGGAGCGACTGGCCTGTTGTGGGGATGTTTTAGCGCATAGTACAGGAACTCAGCAGCTGATGCGGTTCTTCAGCGACAGAAATCACTCTGGCAACCAGTGATGTTTTTCTTCTTCTGGTTCTTTTATTGTGCTTCTTGGAACCAGTAAATTGCCTTAGACAGTAGCCACAAGTTAAGGTTTTCTATTTAAAATTTCAAGAGAAAGGGTACAAAATTTGTGTTTCCATGAACATTTTTTTCTCACTCTTTTCACAATTTTACCTTTTACTGTCTTCTGGAAGAGGTTGGAGCCTCACCAAAGACGTTACCCTCACAGCTTGAGAAACATTATTCCTGTGAAAATCCATGGGAAAGAGGTACTTGACTTTGGACTTACCTCTTAATAATGACAAGTAAATTTTCGTTTAAATTTTGGTTCTGACATTGGCTAGTGTTGTTTACTTCCCATTCATGCAGTAGGATTTCATATAGGCATCAGGCAGAGCTATTCCTGGTGAAATTATATGGTAAATATCAGAGCTGTCCTCAGAATTTCCTAATCTTTTACAAAAGAAGAAGTTGAGGCTTTGCCGTTTTATAACATTAGTAGGAATCAATTTATTATCAAAGTGCAATTTTATTAGATTACTAATCAGATAACATTTGCTTAAATAATCCCAGTGCCTTGGCAGTATGTTGACTTTTTTGCTTTTCACAGTAGTTCCCTTGTCAAAACAAAAAGTCACTACACCTTGTTTGGGTGGATGAGTGGACAGAGATGAAAATCCTAAAAGCACCGTTTCCCTCCACAGCTGATGCCAGTGGTGGACATTCTAGCCAGCATCAGGCTGATTGCTAAAATGGGCTTACTCTTTCCTGTTCTTAAATTTGTCTGTTTGTAAACCAAAACCAAAGGCTGCTTTGAAGGCTTGCTTTGCAAGGCTGCTTGAATCTTTAAAAAGAAAAATGGCTGAAGTATCCATTGCTTCTAATTAGGGTAACTTTGGTCATTTGTGATTTAATCGTTTGGTGCAACTATAGATGGAAATAAAAGTTAACAATCAAGGGCACTGCATCTATACATATAGTGCCCAAAGTGTTCAACAGTTTTAAAAATAGTTTCTGTTCTGTTTTTGGTGTTTATGCGAAGGATTACCATATAAATACTGAAAAGTTAAATTTCTTACTAATCTTTAAAACTTTTGAGAAACCGCCAAAAGTCCAAATATGCTTTTGATGTTGGTCTTTGATAAAATAAATATCTTTGCTAGTATTGATAAAGGCTTAATTTCATCTTTTTCTACATACAGTATTTTTTCTTAAGGTACAATTAAGGATCATGTAAGTTTTTTTTCATTTTTTCTCATATTCCAATTTTCACATGATCATGCATAGAATCTTAGAGATCTTATACACTTTTTCATTAAATTTTTAAAATATTGTCAATATTTACTTATTTTGAGAGAGAGCATGTGCACATGTGCGTGCAAAAGGGGTTGGGGGCAGAGAGAGAATCCCAAGCAGGCTCTGCGGTGTCTGCACAAAGCCCAATGCAGGGCTTGATCCCAGGAATCATGAGATCATGACCGGAGCCGCAATCGAGTAGATGCTTAACTGCCTGAGCCACCCAGGTGCCCCTGGACGGTTTTAAAACTCAACCTTCTGTGCATTCCCTCCCAAGAATTCTTTGCAGTTATTCTGAAATTAGTGTATGCTTGACTACTTGATAAATTACCAACTGATCTCCTGTATATGGACAGGAAGTACTTGCACTTTGAGAACTTTAAACAAACAGTACCTACTGTTCTTGACAAAATCTTTTCTCTCAGAGGAAGTAACCCTTCTTTAATTTTTAGTGGACAAAAAAATCCATCATACTTCTGTCCTGGATTTGGATTTAGTTTATTGCCATTATTGCTCTAGGATTATAATTCTAAATGGTGATTGTTAGAGATTTTAACACATTAGTGTGTAGCTGATTTATTTACTAATACGGAATGATACTCAAAGTGTTTGATTTAAGCCCCAGAATGCTAAGATAAAAATTTTAATTACATCAAAATACTGTACTGATTAGTCTTTTACAATTTTCCTAAGTAAATTTAGCCAGGTTTGTTGGAGCTCTGTCAGGAAGAGTATAAGCTGGATTGTTTGTTTACGGTAATGCATAACTAGTACATTTTCATTCCTGCCTCTGGTGACATTTTTCTGACATGAATTCAGTCTGCTCTCTCACAGAGAGCAAGAACTTGAGGTTTTCCCTCTGCTCCCTAAAGAACTCTGAGTACAAGGCTAGTACCTAGACTTTGTATCCCAGATAACACTGATTTTTTTTTTTTTTTTTAATTCTTCTTGGATGCTCAGTATGGGTTTTGCCAAGTACCATGGGTCGGTTGGTAAGTTGGCTTATGTATATTCCAGAATCTCTGGACAGATGTTTAGGGTGATCATCCATGAGCCTGTACCTGAAACTTTGCTCTTATCTTGGCAGCATGAGGCCAAATTCCCATAGGGACTCAGCCCGGATAAATTAATTTCTCAATACGCGTAGATATGGCTTACATCTTTCTCTTCTAAGTAGTCTGGAAAACAGGGTTTTCATATTTATAATACTTCTTGCTTTGGGTCACTAAGACATTCACAGTTATTCACAAAATTGTGGATTTTCTTTTTCTTAAGTTTATTTATTTTGAAAGTAAGGGAACAAGCAGGGCTGGAGGGGGGTTGGGGGGTGGGGGGAGAGGGAGAGAGGAAGGGAATCCCACGCAGGCTCACGCTGCCAGCACAGAGCCTGATGTGGGCCTCAGACTCCCGAACCTGTGAGATCATGACCTGAGCCAAGATCAAGAGTCAGATGCTTAACTGACGGAACCACCCAGGCACCCCTGTTTTTAATGTTCTAGGGACTCTGGGTATAATATCACATGTTAGTCCTTTCAACAGTTATCCCACTTATGTTGTGATTTCCAAACAAAATGCATGTTAAGTTAGAGAAGTTTACATAAATCAAAATAAAAGATTTTTCTCTTTTCAGCTGTTCACCACCTTTCATTCTTTTGGGTGAAATACACAAGAGTGAGGTTTAACCCAAGGTAGTTTTGCCCTCACATTGAGAAAAAGTTTTGAGCCCACATCCCAGGGTCACAGTCCTTTTGTTGCAACAAAGCCTCTTCATGTAACAAACCAGATGCCAAGCAAGTCCTGGTATCACTTAAATACCTCACACAGCTGACATTAAACAGCTCTCCGAAAATACACCAAGCTCAAGAGTGGATGTTCGAACGATAAAATTGTTTCATTCAAATATGTTCAGCTTTTAAGAAGCCTTGGCAGTGGAGCCAAAGAAATTGTGACTCTCAGCTTACATCTGAAAGAGTGATTAAGGTTACTGTCACCCGGAAGCCCAGAAATGCTGCCTTAACATCCATCTGGGTAATCTAAGAACTGTCTTGCCTCTCTGTTCACTCTCTGCACAGAATCAGGAGTGGTTTTATGTTTCAGGCATTTAGCTAGAGAACATGTGCTTTAATATAATGAAGCTATCAAAATGCTTTTGTCGCAACCTTCTGAAACTTGAATTCGGTTGAAATTTACACATCATACCCTCAACTCGCTTCATTGTCTCTGTGAAAGATTGGAAATGGCGTTTTCGTGGGATCACTCTTGATTCATGTGTTTGAACCCTGACACCTGTGTCCCAGAACTCTCTGTCCTAATCTCCTCACCACCCGTAAGTCACAAGGGCAGTGCTGGTTGCTAGACGTGTGACTTGCTGGATGGGAAGACACACGGCGACTAAAGAATGCCGCTTCTCCGGAGCTCGGCGTTGAACACACTGCTCACTGTGGTTCTCTTCCCGCTGCAAAGTTGCCTCTCGTATTCAGTTTGTTCAATTTGATGTGTAAGGCTGCACGGTCACGGGCGTTGCATTGTAGCTGGTTTTTTTTAAAACAATTTAATATGTTGATGAACTTGCTTGCTTTGACTGTTTTCCTGGGGGAGAGGGAAGGGTGGGAAAAGGGGCAAGACAACGAAGGTAATTTTTTAAAGGACGAAGTGTTTGGGGAAACTGCTCCGCTGAAGTTCCATAAGAGTCTGACTTGCGTGTTTTTCTCTTCGCTTGCTGTGCTCCCGGAAACAGTGTGACACCGGCGCCCCAACAGGTCCGGGCCTGTCTTCCCCAAACATTACCTGAAGGTGGAGCTAATCTTCCCTCCGCTCGAGGCATTTTGTCGCTTATCCAGTCTTCCACTCGTAGGGCTTACCAGCAGATCTTGGATGTGCTGGATGAAAATCGCAGGTGACTGGCCATCAGTGACTCTCGCTGGCTGTGTTGCTTTTC